CCACACTATCTCAATGTAAGACAAGGAGTATGATTGCATAAATAAATAAACTGCAAGCATATGTACTTTGACCGAAACATGATGGCCAAATCAAAATGGAATTGATAGAATTTGCAAATCGGAGCTTTTACAGCATACCTCTAACAAGACATACCTCACTCTGATGGCGATGCGGCAGGGCGAGAAGGAATATTTACGCAAGTACGTGGCTCGATACAATCAGATGTGTTTGGAAGTGCCTACGACGGTCGACAAGGTGAAGGCGGGAGGTTTGATTAAGAGCCTGCGACCAGGGCCTTGCTGGACGTCGTTGGCAAAGACGCCTGCTTGAACTTACGATGAAGTGCTAAAAAGGTGCAAGAAGTACATCAATCTGGAGGAGACAGAGGCCGAATTTGCTAAGCTCGAGGAGGTGGCGAAGCCCCAGCCAAGGAAGGGAAGGCCAAATTCACCCAGGAGGGAGTCGCCTAGAAGGAATTCCCCAAAGAAAAGGCCCATCCAGGAGGATGTCGCCCAAGAGGGATGATCGGGGCTTGTGGCGTCCTGGGCAAGAAGACCGATGGGAAGGACAACCTCTTTTGGCGAACGGCCAGAGATACAATAACGTTCACACCGATAAACATGAAGGTCAAGGAGGTTCTAGTGGCGATTGAGGAAAATTTGGAGATTAAGGAGTCACTTGGCCAGCGGCAAGGTTCGAAGGGCCGACACAACCTAAGTCGAGTAGATAGGTAGGTTCCATCGAGATTATGAGCATACCATGGTGGGTTGCAGGCATTTGAAGGAAGAAATTGAATGTCTCATAAGGGCTGGTCACTTGAAAGAATTTGTCATCTGCGATCGACCACGTGGTAAGGAGAAGAGGAGGTGCATGGAAGACTCGGCGGTGCGAAGTGATAGACAAGAAGATGGAGAAGATGATACTCGAGGAGAGAGGGGTGGTCTATGGGGTGAGGAGGATAAGAGAAGACATGGTAGTGATGGTCGAGAAGGGCAAGGAGGAGGAGCCCCGGTGAAGAGGGGTACTATCTATATGATTTTTGGGGGGCCTACGAATGGAGATTCAAACAACGCTCAAAAGGGGCATGTGCGAGCCATGAAGTGCAAGAAAGAGGAGGTCGGGATAACGGGTCGAATGCCAGTGATCAGCTTTCGAGCTGATGATGCTGAGGGAGTTTCACTACCCAACAATGACGCGCTGGTCATCACAGTGGAGGTCGCGGGGTTTGATGTGAAAAGGGTGTTCATTGACACGGGAAGCTCGATCGATGTAATGTTCTATGATTACTTCGCACAAATCAACAAGCACCTGAATTTAGAGTTGAAGCCGGTGGCGACAACATTGTACGGTTTTAATGGAAGTGAGGTAATGTCGATGGACGAGGTGAGCTTAACGATGGCATTGGAATCAGGTGATAAGAGGAAAGTACGCATGGTGAGGTTTGTAGTGGTTGGTGCAGAGTCATCTTACAATATCATTTTGGGGCGAACATGGTTGAATGCGTTCCAAGCGGTCGTGTCTACATACCACATGACGATCAAGTATCCTGTGGGTGAAAATGTGTGCGAGATTGTTGGGGACCAACTTATGTCAAGGAGCTGCTACCGGACCACAGTCAGCAACAACAAGCAGTTGGCAAAAAAGCAGTCAAAGGGTGGTGAGGAATTGCCGGATCGACCAGAGGGGTCGATATCGAAGGAGGAGAGAGAAAGGCAGGATAAGGGGAAGGAGAAAATGGACATGCAACCAGGGGAACAGGTTGAGGAAGTTCAGATGGTACAAGGGTGTGAAGATCGAAAATTTGCAGATATATTTGCCTACACTGTTGAGGAGCTAATGGGGATTGAAGCAAAGGTGATCGAACATCGACTAAATATCGACCTCGATGTGAGGCCGATAAAACAGAGGAGGAGACACCATGGAGCAGAGATGGATAGAATAATTGAGCAAGAGGTAGAGAAGCTGATGAAGGCAGGCCACATTACGGAGATCAAATTCTAAGAGTGGCTGTCGAACACCGTGATGGTGTCGAAATCGGAAAGAAAGTGGAGGATGTGCATTGACTTTAGAGACCTAAACAAAGCATGCCCGAAGGACCTGTATCCACTGCCGAGGATCGACCAGCTGGTAGATTCCACGGCAGGGTGTGAACTGCTCAGCTTAATGCACGCATCCCAAGGCTATCATCAAATCCCTTTAGCTCGAGAGGACACGAAGAGGGTGAGCTTCATAACCAACAAGGGAACATCTTGTTATGTGGTGATGTCGTTTGGCTTGAAGAACGCAGGATCAACTTACCAAAGGTTGGTCGATAAAATCTTCAAGGAGCAGCTGGGCAGGAACATGGAGGTGTATGTGGACGACATGCTCGTCAAAAGCAAGGTGGAAGCGGACCATGTAGTGGACTTGAAGGAGACGTTCCAAACATTGAGAAGATATGGCATGAAGCTCAATCCTGCTAAATGTTCGTTTGGAGTGAAGGCAGGGAAATTCTTGGGATATATGGTAACAAGAAGAGAAATCAAGGTGAACCGGAGAAGGTTCGTGTTGTGGTCGAGATGAAGCCACCAACAAGCGTGAAGGAGGTACAAATATTGACAGGTCGAATAGCGGGGTTGAGCAGATTCATTTCCAAAGTCGCGGAGAAAAGTGGCCCACTATTCAAAACATTGAAGAAGAGTTCGAAATTCCAATAGACGATCGAAACGCAAAAGGCTTTCGAGGAGCTGCAAGGGGTGCTTGCTAATTTGCCCTTGTTAGAGAAACCTGTGGAAGGAGAAGACCTGGTGCTCTATATATCCATAGGTAAGATAGCCGTGATTTCAGTACTGTTACGCGAAGGAGTAGCTCAATTCCCGATATATTATGTCAGTCGAGTTATGCAAGGTGTTTGTCCCATTTTTGTTGCATTTTTCATTATTGTTTTTTCTTTCTTTTTCCCCCGTTTTAGGTCTTTTCGTTAGTTTTTATTCGTTTTTATAGTTTATTGTGCGTCTTGATCTATTTCGGTTATCTTTGTTTTTCTCGTGTATTTTTCCAGTTTTTTCTTCGTCTTAGGTGTGCAGGTTGGAGGATTTGAGATGATTTATTTTTTATGATATATGGACCGGGAGAACATTATTTAAGAGAGTGTTTTGTTGGCATCCCACGGGAG